GCGAGCAAGTTTGATGTGACGGGGGATGAAGACGTTAAGCACATATTGGATAATAAATGATGCGAAGTATCAAGACTGTTTTCCAATCAAGCAGATACGTCACGGACATAGCTCACAGTATGGCTTATGTTTACATTTACCGTAGTTCGTCTTAAAACTTGGGTTTAAAATGTTAATAAGTTACTGAGCTCAGTAAGCTACATTCATATTTATTACATCTCAACGTCAAGCCACATTTTCCATGGTTGGGTCAAAAGGGGTGAAGGTCAACTCTCATTACTCGGTTCTACAAACGGCCCAGCATGGCCAGGTGGTTAGGGTGCTCTATTCGCAATATGAGGGTCGCGGATTCGAATCCCCGTCCCATTCGTTTAAATCTGCGAGTAAAGGGTTTGTTTGTTTAAATCTGCGAGTAAAGGGTTTGTTTGTTTAAATCTGCGAGTAAACGGTTTGTTTGTTTAAATCTGCGAGTAAGGGGTTTGTTTAAATCTGCGAGTAAATGGTTTGTTTGTTTAAATCTGCGAGTAAAGGGTTTGTTTGTTTAAATCTCGAGTAAATGGTTTGTTTGTTTGTAGTTAATCACAAAGGGTTATATGTGCCAGTGGGGTGGGAGTGAGTAAAGGGAACGTAAAAGGGGGTACGTCACATTTCACTTAGTCTTCTTATGGATGGTTGTTTTTTATCATTGTTGCTGTTTCGGGATTTTCCCGCGAAGCCATGCTACCGGCTATCTGGCCATGGCCACCCTTAATTTTGAACTGATAGACTAGAGAGAAGGCTGCTAGTCGACAGCACACACCGCCAACTCTTGGGCGAATAATAAAATTTGGCGGTCACTCTTATAGCGCACCCATAGCTCAAAAGTATGGAGCGTGTTTTTGCGACAACGCGAGTCGCGAACAGGGAATTATCAGATTCACAGTCCGAAAAAAACTAACTACTAGAACACTTCCGTGAATGATTGTAAATCAATGTATTTTAAACTGTAATTACTCCTTTCAGTGAGAGATATTAATGTTTATGTCCGACGAAACGGCGGAGAAATTACACACAAAGTCCCAGTTCCTCAGACGCGTCTGTACTGCCTGGACCAGTTGGTCCTTCCAACGATAAATCCTGCGGTCCACCACAGAGGTCGTGTTGATACAGTCGTTTCCTCCGAACTCACAGATACGGTAGTGGTGCAGAAACCCAATACTCGAGGGAATGTCCACCATGGCACGACCCGGAAGGAACTCCCACACAAAATGGTTGCCCATTTCCACCACGCGTTCTGGAAGCACGATGCACTTGGAGCGCTGCTTGTGAGGGTGAAACTTCAGTTTCCTCATAGTTCTTTCTAGTGTTACCAAATGTAGAGGCAAACTGCTGGACTTCGGATCTTTTGGCCACTGAAGATAAAAAAAAGAGTTTTGGAATGAGTAAGCACCCGTTTTCGCTGGTTTTTTATTGATGAGAAAGCCCAGCATTTCGATAAGGGATTCGCTCTTGTGGGGAACAATGAATTCATCGAAATCAATCATTAAGACAAACCGAAACCTATACATCGTTCTGTACAAACAGTCGTTTAGAGCAGCGAACAAGCCCTCTGTCCGGATCTCTTTCTGGGACACCAAGTCTAGTTTCCAAGGAAGAACGGTCATCATTCCGTTTGCCATATATTGTCGCATAACACACGCAACGTCATGGCCGATTGTATTATTGTATAGTACGAAATGTTGAGCGCCAAAAATTCTGTTTAATTCGATAAATTCGATAAAGTTTAAGAGTTTGTTGTAACTGTAATGCATGGGCTTTACACACACTGCTATTCCTTGAGAGGAAGTTGAGTCTTTTTTATTGTTATGCACGACCAACCAGTTCGTAATTTCGGCGTTTTCTGAACTAATTATGGACACCCTTTCTGGCAATGTGGAAAGGCCCTTACTTAACGGACACAACACAAAATAAGCACTGTATTTCAAGTTCCAGTTTTCTTGTATTAATTTGTTGAATGCGGGAACGGTTACGGGAGGATAACCACCTGCAAACCAAAACTTACACATTACTTTGTTCGCGTTTCGTGTTCGCGCAGCCGCAATCACCCGAACCAGACGTACTCTTCGATCATCTAAATAAGCAGAGAAAACAAAGAATTTATCTTTTGTACCCCTAACGGACTGCCAGTGATCAGCATTTTTACTCCCAAGTAATTCGTCGTCCTCGTCCTGTTGAGAATCGTAGTACAGATTCACAATAATATCCAAATCTTCTTCTGTAATGACTTGTGCAAGCTCTCTAGCCACGTGAGGGGGCAGCACTATCTCTTTATTCGTATCTTTCTTCCACCTCAGCCTTTCAAAAAAACTAAATTCCATGGAGGCATTCTCTTCAACGAAAAATATTTCGGTAAACAGAATACTGAGAAAGAAAAGCATAAACATCAAAACAAAATAGAATGATTTGTTTCTTCGATCGTTTATACGATTAATACCCGCCATTTTTCCTGACTGAATCCTTCTCCGAATAGGCATGCTTCAAAGTGTTGATAACAAACAAGGCTTCAAAGTTTCCACGCCACTTCTTGTCTAAGTGTTGATAACAAACAAGGCTTCAAAGTTTCCACGCCACTTCTTGTCAAAGTGTTGATAACAAACAAGGCTTCAAAGTTTCCACGTCACTTCTTGTCAAAGTGTTGATAACAAACAAGGCTTCAAAGTTTCCACGTCACTTCCTGTGAAAGTGTTGATAACAAACAAGGCCATAAAGTTTCCACGCCACTTCTTGTCCAAGTGTTGATAACAAACAAGGCCATAAAGTTTCCACGCCACTTCTTGTAAAAGTGTTGATAACAAACAAGGCTTCAAAGTTTCCACGCCACTTCTTGTCAAAGTGTTGATAACAAACAAGGCCATAAAGTTTCCACGCCACTTCTTGTCAAAGTGTTGATAACAAACAAGGCTTCAAAGTTTCCACGCCATTTATTGTCCAAGTGCTGATCACAAACGAGGCTTCAAAGTTTCCACGTCACTTCTTGTCAAAGTGTTGATAATAAACAAGGCTTCAAAGTTTCCACGCCACTTCTTGTCTAAGTGTTGATAACAAACAAGGCTTCAAAGTTTCCACGCCACTTCTTGTCAAAGTGTTGATAACAAACAAGGCTTCAAAGTTTCACGTCACTTCTTTTCAAAGTGTTGATAACAAACAAGGCTTCAAAGTTTCCACGTCACTTCTTGTCAAAGTGTTGATAACAAACAAGGCTTCAAAGTTTCCACGCCACTTCTTGTGTGTACAGAAAATAAATCGTTCCTAATATTAAACCACATCTCAAAATCTTTGCTTCTTATACTCTGTCTGAACCATTTATTTTTCAGCCAGACTGTGGAACCTGAAAAGGATACGTATATATTTATATGAACATATTTATTTGATTTTTTAAACCAATGTATTTCAGAAAACGATAATACAATTCATAATAATGAAGGAACTTTAACAATAAGTGGCCCCGTGGCAAATTTATGGATTTAAAAGCTGGCTAGCGGGATTCGAACCTGTGTTAAATCACAAACTATTCCTCGCACTTGACATCGTGAGTGCATTAAAAAAGTGACAGTTAATTCCTTAAGGTTGATGGCAGCGTGCTGCTGATTAGCTGCTTTGCCTCTGATCAGTAGCTCAAAGGTAGAAACGACAGCGGATAGCTCTGGTGGCTTTGTCGTAAATCCAAAGAACAAAAAAGGTTTTAGTTAATCATACTTGTGCAACGAGAGCAACAAGCTAAAACGTTTATTACATAAGTAGTGGTAGGGACAGTAAATATATATCGGACTGACTGTTGACACAAAATGGAAACCGTGAACTTATTAGGAACATGTAGTCATCGAAGTTACTTACTGAATTACTGAGAAAGTTCTCGCTTTACTTGTTGGAAAAGTAAAATTTTTTACACAAACATTACACTGTCATAAACAGATTTTCTGTTGTTGTTATATTTTTGCAAATTTTATTTGTTGATTGTTTGTTTGTTTGTTTGGAATTAAGCACAAAGCTACACAATGGGCTATCTGTGCTCTGCCCACCACTGGTATCGAAACCCGGTTTCTAGCGTTGTAATTCCGCAGACATACCGCTGTGCCACTGGGGGTTTATTTGTTGAAAAAGTACAATTTTATACCCAAAAATTACCCTGTCATAACTAGAATTTGTGTTGCTGTTACATTTTTGCAATTTTATATGTAGGTATTGCCCCCAGTGGCTCAACGGTACGTCTTGAGGTTTAGAACGCTAAAAATTGGGATTCGATACTCTCGATAGACAGATAACCCATTGTTTGGATTTGTGTTTAACAACAAACAAGCCCCTCCAGTGGCATAGGAGCATGTTTGCGGACTTACAACACTAGAAACCAGGTTTTGATACCCGTGGTGGGCAGAGCATAGTTAGCCCATTGTGTAACTTTGTTCTTAACTACAAACACACAGTAGTATGTACGTAAGTTTTGTCCAAATGGAGGTTTAAAACTTCATGTTTTTAGGTAAGTCATTTAAATGTTTAAACACCAGAAAATCATATCTAAAAACTGTTTAGTTATTAATAGAGTACTTCTCACGCTTACAGATACAGAATCAGCGCACTCTATCACAAAGTATGTTCTTTATCAACAACCTACAGAAGGGCTATCTGCGCTAGCCGTCCCTATTTTTTCTAGTGACAGAATAGAGGGAAGGCAGCTAGTCATCACTACCCACCGCTAACTCTTTGGCTACACTTTTATCAATGAACAGTGGGATTGACCGTCAAATTATAACGCCCCCACGGCTGAAAGGGCGAGCATGTTTGGCAAACCATTTACTCGCAGATTTAAACAAA